TTTTAATTTTTTTTTAATATTCGAAAATTTTTTTTACATATCAGGAACTCTAGGCAATCGTAAATTGAAGCTATTAAGCCGCTCAGAACTATTCCACCTCGAAATTCGATAAAAAGTTAGCAACCCATTTAAAAAAAATGTTTATTGAACGGAACTCTTGTTATTAACTATAGGGAACTCTTCGTCCCGTCAAAAGGAAGTGGGAACTCTAATCAGAACTCCTGAGTACTATAGTTGGGGTGCTAACTTAACATACCCCATTTGTTTTGTGTAAAAACACGTTGAATGAATCTAATTTCGTCAAGATTGAATACAGAGTGACTAAACTTAACATTTACCTTTAGTCTCTCCTTTCTCTCTCGGAGAGTGAAATTATTCACTCTTAGTAGAAATTGAAAATTGACTCTCGCTTGAAATGATTCACTCTTTAAGAGTAATTCTTTATTCTCTAAGAGTAAAAATTCCATTCTCTAATTTTAAAGTGTAAGGGCCACCACACACAAAACGGCATACATAACCGTAGCATAAAGCCGCTAGACCAATGAGCATCCGACATAAAAACGCCATATCAGTTTACATGAGATGCTTGATTGGTCCAGCGGCTTTATTCAGCTTATGTTATTTTGTACGTGATAATCCTAAGAAAAAACACTATCAGTATTCACTCTCCGCTAAATCCCGGATGCGATAGATACAATCTTCATTTTACATCCGTAATATATTTATATTACATTTACGACATGGTAAATGTAACATTTTACCAGGTAATAATAATTCGCGCTGATAATCGGTGCGCCGAGCTATAAAATGAAATACGATAAGCCACACGAATTTCGCAGTGACAAATTTTTAACTTCAGAACGGCCCGGTCGCCTTTAAATCCACGGAGGCAGATAATAACAAGATTTAGCAGCGGCCCGAGAAATTCAACAATTTTTCGTGTCGTAAAACTCGTGATATTGGCGATCGCGTTAAGTTGAAACCGCAATAAAGTCGAAATTTAAAAAAGTGGAGCACCTGTTCAGGAATATCAACTCATCGTCATTCATCGTCGATTGCTTGTCTCTCCCTCGTCTTAATATGACGGAATTTTTATGTTCGATTAAGTTTGTTCCACCGAAATCGAAATGGCGCTGGACGCGCGTACGTAATGGCCTCGTAAAATACGAAAATGAATTTCATATTTTCTCTTGGTCCACCGTTCACCATCGCTATAAACTGCTAAACAGCTGTTGCAACTGCGATAGCAAATTTTCCTATTTTCACCGTATTGCTTCGTGCAAAATAATTGCAATTAATGATCGGTTACTCACTACTAATTTCATTTTTACTCATTATCCCGATTTTTCCGGAAGTGTCCATTAACTATCTAAATTTCTCTCTTTCTTATATACAATAAAATTTAAAACCTAAAACTTCTTAAGAGATTTCGAAAGAAAAGAATTATTAATCGCGAATTGATTGCAAATATTAATATTATACATATTGTTTAATTCGAGTTTAATTTGAAGAATAGTGATGTAAAAAATGTCCCACTTTAGTGCTTGAACGTGCATGGTGGACATTATTCGTATTATCTTTAAATCGTAAAATTATTAAAAACATAGAATATAATTAATTATATAACTCTCCTTATAATTAATTATATAAGTAATTGTTTTTATTATTTCGTAAAATTTCGTACTCCAAATAATTAAAATAAAACTATTTTGTCACAGTTTATAAAAGTAATTTCTGTACAACAAGAATTTTTTCGTTGTAAAATTCTGTGCTTTAGTCTTAAGTCAGCACAGCCACACCGTGGATCGAATCCTTCGACGTAAACGATGAGCAAAAAAAATCGGATTCTGGATATTTTTAGAGCAAATAATTCTAGAAACATTTTGAGACCAAAATGATCCCGGCAATTGATTGCTTTAATGTATTTTACTCTTGTACGCGAACCAGCACAACTACACTGTGGGTCGAATTTTTCGACATAAACGGTGAATAAAAAAATTAACTAAATATTGTTTATCAAAATGGTAGAATTAATGTGGCGATCGAAAACAATAATGAAATTCTAAAGGTTTTCAAATTTCAGGGAAATTTTGTATTAGTAGGAATTAGAGGAGTTGATTTTAAAACAAGTTTCAAAGAAACATAATTCATAATATTTAAAAAGAGTATAATAGACCATCGCGCGCGTAGCGCGCGCAAGAAATGTGCTAGTTAAAGAAAAAAGACATTCGTAATCCAACGAAATGCATATACTTTTCTAATGTATTACATTCGTTAGATTCTGGGAAATGCGCTCGAGTGATTTCGTTGAAAACTTTACGCGAAATTCCCGCGAACTTGAAAGTTTCCACGGGGCACATTCCTCGCTTTGCTATTTGCAAAGCCGGGTTAAGTAAATGAAATTCCGTGTGACTGCCGATCGCAGATTTTAACGAACCGAGACGTGCCACTCTTTGACGAGCAAACTGCGAGTAATGAAGAAACTTTCTGATATCATCGTATGATTTGTATCAAGATTTTACGAAAGTGAAATGTCTTGAGAAACGAGTTTACATCTTTCTCGACGATGATCGTTTATTGGGTTAGATTTGTATTTTATTACATCTCCTGTCCTAATTTCAATCAGAACGCGCGGTTGCAAATTTGTTAAAATAGTGAGTGAATATAACGTATCTCCCACATGCGGTCCTTAATTTTAATGGCGAATGCTTTGACCAATTCTGGATTGATTCCATCGTCAAATTGAGTCGACGAAATCGATAATTTTATTTCCCACTCGAGTGAATTGAATTTCAAGTTTGCGTCTGTCTTGTGACTCCCGTGCTTCTATCCGTACATTATTAAGTTATCCATACATCCGTAAACACGTTAATCAGATGTGATTAACGTTTTCCGATCTGACATCGGTCCGTAACACCCGGCATCATGTAACGGAGAGCCGTGTATACCCAACGAGCGGTAAGGAGAGGTTGTCTCCTTGTAACGAGTTAATACCTCCAGATCGTTATAGCAGTTACTGCAAAGCCGGTACCTAATTAATCCGCTTTTGAAACGTTTTAGTGTACGGCAAAGCTATGGCGAGCAAGGAGGCATACTTAAAGGAGTCGTTGCCGGGGGCTACGTAAAATTATTAAGCGGACCCCCCTACGCTCTCCCCTCGTCATCTCTCGGCTGTCTAGACGACTTTGGCGGGTGAGATTGACGCCTCCTTCATCTCTTTTAATTATTTTTTTTTTCATCTCTTTTTTTCCTTTCCCGTGTCGCTAGTATTTAAATATATGTCTGCAACTGCTATTGAGTATTTTACCTGCTGTAGGAAATCGCTCTTCTCCCTCTGATGCTGCGTCCAACAATAGAGTAATTTATAATCGGTGAAAATATTTGCATCCATATGTATGTACATTGCACGCAAATACAACGTCAAACGAAACTCGCTCGAAAGTCTCTCTTATCGGAATATCAGATACCTATCTTTTCTTTTGGTCTCTCTATTAATTTGCAATCATTGTTTGTAAAAAATCATTGTTCCTTTCACGCGACTATTATCAAGTCTGTAGATATCTCAAAATTATAATTAATAAAAACAAGATACGAATCGTGTGATTCAGAGCGTAAAATTGTAACTAGTCTAAATAATTTACATAAGAGAACTCTAATTGTCATTGCTAGTCGTTTCAGGAGTAACAAGAAAGTCAAAGCTTACAGTAGCGTGTATAACCTCCGTTTCACCCATTTGAGAGGTAAACGACTATCAACGAACAAGACTTGCACAAAGTTGCGCGATCAGCGCGGTCCCGTAAAGATAAATCGCCCTACAAAATCTCGGTAGTCGCGGAACGAGAAGCTACGAGTCAATTAAGCGTGGACGAAGTTGTCTTTCGAACGAGTTTGCACCGCTTTTACGTTCGTTGTTTTATCGCGGGTACATGCATATAGGTACGCAATGCGAGCTAGGATTCGACGAACCATCATGAACAATTCAGTTCACGTAACGAACCAAGCGGATGAGTTCGCGATGAGGACGTGGAGCCAACGAGATATTTTACGAACTATCTCAATCATCACAGTGTGTGAAGAAATATCTAATTTATTCAAACGATTGTTGCGGCGATTTTTCAGAGAGATTGAAAAGTCTCACAAAATGTTTGCAAAATCATTAAATTATTAAAACATATTTGTGAACTTATTTGAATGAGAAATAATATTTTAAATGTCAAAAAAAGCTTTTCAGAGAGGCTTTATCTTAAGCAATATTTTTTTACCTCCTAATTTTAACAGAATTTTATCGTAATTGTCATTCTTTATCTTTATTTGTAACCAATGCAAATTTAACCAAAACACGAGATGAAATCTCCGTGTTTTAAATTATATATTATACTTTTGTTTGTACGATTCTATTTCTAAATGGATATATTTATTTACCAAACTAATTGTAAATAGATATATACTACTGTAATGAAATTATCTATTGGTTAGCTAATCACGTCGGCTCCTGAGTAACTTCCTCTTTAGTACACGCGATAGATCTACGATACTTTGACTGAGTTCCGTAGCAATTAATTAAGCTGTACTTTGTGGAAGTGCAATGAAATCAATAACATCAACAGCCAAGTTCTACAAGTTTATCCCGGAACATCTTATTTAGTTCAAAAAGTTGTAAAAAGTTGAAGTTTTTCATTCGTTCAAGCATAAATTTAATATTTAATATCGATTTCTTTTTTCAAAGTAACGTGTACACCGGAACGTTACATAAGTCTAACCGATCAAGCGAAAATGGTAGCGTGTAAAAAGCTCATTTACTTCACGTACATCGTGGGTAAAAATTCATGTCATTTCTCATTTCGTCTTAATACGATGTAGTTGCTATCGGAAACCCGAACCCGTCCGCACGATAAAATTTATTCGCGATCATTGCCGGATGGATCGCCGGTTCAATCTACGCTCGCACACAGATATCACACAACCACATAAACCACATTCGCCTATCACAGCGGACTCACGTTTGAGTTGGACGAAGGTGAGTTGATCGATGGCACGGCGCAGCGGCTTGTCGTCCAGGGTAAGATCGAGCAACGGCAAACGAGCGATCTCCTGCACACCCTCGGCGCCGCCCCAGGAGCCGGCGGCCGTCGCTGCTCGGACTGCCAACATACCGCCGATTTGCAAGAAGGCCGCGCTGTCGGTCTCCTTCAGCGCCTCGATGCAAAACGTTAGCAACGCCGTGGTCGCCTGTAGGTGTGTGGCGCATCTCGCCACCTGGTCTCGTAACGACCGCACCCTGGCCTCCCTGGTCTGTCGAGCGGCTTCGATCAACCGTGACTTTCTCGCTTGCAGAAGACTCACCAGGTTCGTCACCCGATCCTCAACCTCCTCTTCAAGCGCCACGCATTCCTCCTGGAATGAATAATTCTCTTTGATTATAATATCGAGAAATATCTTGCTCGATATTACTTTTATATATAATATTATCTGTGCGCGACAGAATTTCATAATTCTTTCTATAGAGAACTTAATATATTTAATGTATAGGAGAAATTATGCATTATATTCAATACTTATATTTCATTATAGAAAATTGGAAAAATAACTGGGACAAAAATAATAATTTATTTTTAGAAAAATATAGTAATTTTTTTACCAAAAGTATCTTTCTATATTATATCTCTACTTACTTTCACGCGCGCGGAATAAGTTTAATTTTCAATACTTCAATTTTTTTTTTATTTTGCACACTTTTAATACTTGCACACACACACACATATTTGAACCTAGAAGACAATGTTTATACAGACATTGTACGAGAAATCTAATATCAAACTGATTACGTATAGTCGTGTATGAAGAAGGGAAAAGATTATATCAAAAGGAATCTCTGTCGGCTTTCAGAGTTTGGTTCACCGATTGTAAGCTATGCTTTGTACATCCAAATTATCCCTTCGGCCATCAGAGATGAATGCACGGTGGGTTTCTATCCCGCAAAGAACTGATGTAATTAACGCCATATCTTTTCGCAATTTCACGGCACCATACCGCGTTGACACGTCCGTCGACACGGAATTTAAAACGGACGCCAAAGGCGCCTATACTCACATGTACTTTATCCGTCATTCCTTTGAGCCTTTGAATGAACTCCGTTGTTGAGCGGGCTCTCTCCGATAGCTGCTGCAGATTCTGCGACAGCTCCGTCTGTAACAGCAGAAATTCACGACACGTGAAGGAACGTGCGATACTCGGAGAACGTGATACGTAGACGTTTATACTGAGGGTAACTAAAGATATCAATATGAAATAAAAACGACTTTGCTTTTCTTAAAAAAAAAAAAAAAATACTGTAAAGATATTGATTTGGAATAAGAAAAAAACCTTACGTTTTTTTTTTTTTAAGACAAGAAACAATAAATGATAAAGTTCTAAAACCATAGTATATATTAGAAATTAAATTATGTAGTATTGAAAAATAGAATAATATATATTATGTAATATATATTAAAAATACATATTTTTATACACTGAAAAAAATTTTACGAAATTTTAATAAATGTCTGTTTGAAAAGTGTTAGCTAAATATTTACTATTCACTAAATGTAAAACATATACTTATTTGGTACAAGTAGAAATTTAAGTATTTTTTTAATAAATATTAATTTATTGTAAGTAAATGTTTAATTATTACTATATTCAAACAAATATTTATTAAAATTTAGTAAATCTTTTCTCAGTGTATATAATATGTGCGCTTCTATGTATACATATGTAGAGCAAAACAGAGATTACATGCTAGTAAAATGTACATAGATAGATAGAGGTACTGATGACTAATGAAGACGAATTATGTGCAGCACAAACGTTCGATGTTGGATCGATATGTCACGCTGGTTCCAATGGATAAACAGTTCCCATATGTAGAGAGTTTGTACCATACATAGGCGTATAGTCACGCTTTCGTGAATGAGCTCGAATTAAGTACATATGGTTGTTTGTTCAATAACGACATAAAGTGCTCTTCTTTCGCGTTATGGAAAGAGTGAATACATATACAGCGTCATTTCTTCCCGAGAAAATCTCGAAAACTAAACTCGAGATATAGTGTAAACATATCTTATTTTAGCATTTGTGATGTACAAACAACAACATTCAAAATACAAACACAATTCAAAATATTATCTTCTATTTTAAAACATTACGGGAAAAATATGTATAAATTCAAGATAATATTTTCTTAAATAATATTAACATTTCTTTTCTGCAATAAATATTTATTTAAAAAGAAAGAAAGTTATATTGAAATCAAATAATCTATGTTTACATTTAGTAAATATTTATTTATAATAAAAAAATGTTTACTTGATATTATTCAAGAAAATATTACTTAGATTTAGAAATTTTTTTTGGAGTTCAAACGGGAAGAAGTAAAATAAAATTCAGATTTCATAAAAATAACCATTTTACATTACATATTTCTTATTAATGATTCTATCTTCGTTTGTAAAACGGTTTAAAACTTGTTTCATCAAACTCAATCTCTTCATTCATTTATGTAAAATCCTTTATAGCGTTCAAGATTAATATTATGGCGAGCATCGAAGAGAAATGGCATTCTTATAATCCGGCACGCATTTACAACTGCGATTTAATTTATCATTTTACACCGAGTGAGAATGCGGCATCGTCTCGCAATATCGCGAATCGTTCCCACAGTTCTCGTTTATCATTTTCCTCATTTCTCGACTTTCCTCGCCGGACAATACCTTCAGATCGATCGAGCGGACGGACGGGTGTACTTCGTCGAATTCACCGGAGACCAACGCGCGTCGCGTCGTCGTCGGCAGTTTCCATTTAACACGACAATGTGTGCTAGTCGAAATGGGATGCGATCGCGTATGCAGTATGCACACGATACCGACAGCGTCGGCATTCATCAGGGAAGACGCGGATTTACTCGTGCAAGTTCGCGATAAAGCCTCGACGGATTACAGGAAAATATCAGGCGACGTTCGATGTGAATGTCATCCATTTCCTTGCATTCTTGACTACTAAACGATCAGTGAAATCGCACACGAGAATTTACATTTCGTGTAACTAATATTTATCTGTTACACATCAGCCTAGACTTTCCGGACGTTATAAGACTTATAAGATGTCTATTATATTTGATTTCACAATAGCTTCACTTTTTCCAAGTTTAATGATGAAAAGAATGATTTTGTTGAAGTGTCTAAAAATTTAGCTAGATACAAATCTGCAGAAAATAATTTTGAAGTAATTATGTAGAACACGCGCGTTTAAGCTGGTTGCTAGAATTTTTTTGCAAATTGCTCATTATTTTTGAGTTTCCTACATAATTATTTTGATAGTCCAATAAAGGTATTTTCAGACCTCCGTATGTACAGCTTTTTTAGATATTTTAATAAAATCGTTTTTTCCATGTATAACACTCTGATAAACACGAAAATACAAAGCACTAAACGAATTAAGAGATAGAAACAGTCTTCTGCTAAGATAAACAAAACGCGCTACAACTATTTATGAAGTCATCAATTTAATCTATAAATACATAAAATGCAAATACCTTGAATTATAAAATACATATTTCACCAAACAGCACACTAAAGATTATTGATATTTCGGTTTATCTGTTTTTGTATTTATATTAAACATACATCTTTACATCAATATGTATATCTAATTTGTATAATTAATGTATACTGAGTGCGCACTAATGCGAATTTGCTATTAAATACGCATATCTGTTTAGACGACTTTATATTCGTTGATGGAAAATGGACTTGAAAATTAATTTCGTCAGATAGGCCACATGTTCCTGAATCCGTTTACAGGAAAACTCATTATTTTTCTCACCTGCGGCATCGCGCTCAAAATATCGAATTATAGCGCCAACATAAAAGTACCATGTCGAGGGATTCCCCCGTTCGGCTGTACCGAGACGCCGTATCCCTTTGTACATTTCTCTTTCTCTCAGTGTCTCTTTCGTGCCGAACGCGACGGCGGCGGCGGTACGATGCCTTTCTCTCGCGCTTTGGCGCGTATCCATTGGGCGCGACCGGCGAAATCTTATTAGCATGAAAAGAGCTCTCGGGGATTTCATCAGGGCGACGAGCTATCGTCCGACCTTCCCCCTCGCAGTCGCAGGCGAGATGTTCCCTCGATCGATTATCCCGCAAACATCTCCGGAACTTCTCCGCCAATTGTTAGTTGATCAAAAAATCCCCGCAACCCTCCACAGTACATTGAGATATCGTAAAATTCGTCACAAAGTGCAAAAAAGAAAGAAGGGGACGTACATATTTAATTTAATTTAATGTATTTGGATGAAAATATAAAAAGCCTCGGATTTCTGGTAATTTGCGATGATAATACCGGAGGCTTACAGAGTTTAATACAAATTTAACAAGATGGCTAAAAGAACTGTCGTCGTCTAAATAGTTTGTTTGGAATTTCTATAAGTGTAAGACTGTATTAATGTTGATGTAGTTGGTCGCTCTTCTCGTCGCAAGCGCGCGCATACTAATTCCGAGACTCGCGAGGTATTTCCTGTGTCGTAACTTTCAAGAATAATTTGTTTAAACTTCTCGTTCGACGAGTCTAATGCGAAATGCGCCCCAGGAATTGTCTCAGTTGTGGGAAGCGCTCGACTTTCTTGGCGATGTTAATTGGCCAAGAGTCGATCCACAAAGACTTCGTTAACATCAGTCAGCTCGTTATAATAGTCATAAAAGTCTGCAGAAAGAATCCAGCGAAACCTTAACTTCTTCAGAATATGCCAACATATATAATACCGAAATATTCACAAAAAAAAAGCAGTCTGAGTTTATTCAACTCGTGAAGAGATCACCGGAGAAGACTTTCAGCCGTGTCGGATGAAAGCTTCGTTAAAATCCTAACGAACAGCACGCGAAAGCTTATTAAATCTAGCCGATGCTTTTCAGCAAACACTTTTCAGAAAACGTCGTATTTACAGGGCAAACGGTAACGAACGAGAAAAGGTGGAAAGATTCTCGTACCGGAAAGGTACTCGTGTCGATTAATTTCAACGAGGTAAGGCGTGATGTACAACCAGCTCGAAAGAACATAAATTAAAAAAAAGGAACATGTCAAATACGGAATACTGATATTTCTATCGAGCGAACCAGAGACCGATTAATCTCGCAATTATTCTTGCGGTTGTACCGATCGGTGATCGTCACCCGACCGCTTTCAATTTACATCGAAACGAGCGTATCTCGCGAACGGCATGTACGAGATAACCCAAAAGCAGTCCACCGCGATAATGGAATCGTGTCCTCCGTAAAGTTTCGAGCACCGCGCGCGGCTCGGATTAATTTTCGATTAAGCTCTCACGATCATAATCGGCGAATTTTTTCGGTCTTGGACACGCGAGTGTCCAGTCTGTTTTGGCGAAATCTTTCTTGTTCCTTTATTTTTCAAATATTAAAAATGTAATCAGGTGATACATCCTTAACATCTAATCAATATAGTGACTTTGCAAAAAGCGACTGGAATTGAAAATTTCCATATGAAATGAATGTTACATGTAAACACACAGTTCAATAAAATTAATATTTATATTTAAAAACATTACAGTTTAAGTGAAAATTTTCTCATTTTAATTTAATTATTATTTAAAAGTTGGTTTTTAAATAATTGTTTTTCAATCATTACTGTGTTTTTCAATAACATACTTTCTCATTAAAATAATTTTTAATTCAGATTCTGAATTACCGCCAAACTTTTTGTATTATTATTTTCAAATACAACATAGAAAAATTTGTTTTATCATTTTTTCATTTTATTGAAAAATACATATATCCTTAAAATCCATTACTATAAAAAATTATCCGCTTATAGCCATTGATAAAAAAATTATTTTAGCGCTAATTTTCAAAAATGTGTTTGGCTAAATAATATTTCGCGTAAAGTCATGACGTCACCCCGAGAGATATATAAGAGGATATAATAATACTCAAAAGGAAATATTAACATTGTACTACATTCACACACACACACAAACACAAACTCTTAATTCACAACAACAAAGCTACGAATTAAGGGCTTGTCAGAGCTCATTATCGCTATAATGGCGAGCTAAAATGAATTTTTGCCCGTATAAAGTTCGCGGAAGTATCTCCGTTGCCTTGGGCGTTCTCCGCCGAGCCCTTTGCCACCCG